TAGGTACAAAAAAACAGCAGTAATGACTACCTCCTTTAATTTTCACAGGTCATTTAACTATTTTGTTATATAAACAGTCTAGCAACTATTATTTTCTAGCAGTTGGAAAGATACTGGAAACACCAGAGAACATCCAAACAATAAACAGAAATTTAACTGTTGCAGTACTCGTATTATCTATCATTGTACCTGCATCTGATAACTTGACATCTGGCCAAATGGTTATCTGGCAAAAAGAACTATTAGCAGCATTAACCACATCGGATACTATGACAGGTCAAACTGATCAAGACAAAGATACACTTGATTCAAAGAGTACTATCTCAGATATCCCCACAGATAGTGAGAGAAGATAGAGTACTTGACTATGGCCTACAAATCATACAGTTGGGTCTCATGTTAATGCACCTTAATGATACAGAACGTGAAGGTGATGGTGAGCGTAGTCTCGTTAACTGGAAGATGCTAATCTTGTAATTTAGATGCAGAAAAAAAGGAACAATGTATGCATATGAAGCTCTAAGGTTTATGACATGCATACGAGAAAACTGCTCATAGAGTATTRCATGGACAATTCGTAAATCCAAAAGGAGGGCTGGGAACTAACTATGCCAATGATTTGAAAATGGAACATCTTGTTAAAAGTAACAAAGACATTTTAAAGGGACTATGTGCGAATAAGACATTGAAAGCTGTTCAAAGATGCTCAAGAGCTGCAAATGGATTGAAGGAGATTTGCCAAAAATTCGATCAAGAATCCGGCTCACATTTCTGATGATTCCACTGCTCACACACACGCTTGCAGCACAGAAAATATCGTGGAGATGCTTAACATCATAAATGCAACAAAACCGTTTGATCATCAATCTGGTAGAACCCTCATTACATTCCCATAAATTTCCAAGACTCCACTTGATAAACTGAATGTTCCACGTTTGCATTCATGGATGACCAATCACGAAAGAAAACTATTTAAACATATGTATCTTTACGGCGGAGATGAAAATAAAGATTCAGAGGAAGAGTCAGACGATGATGATTTTGTTGAAGATGATGATTGTGCTGATGAAGTATAAAATACAAATATGTATTTGAAACACAAATTACCTTTTGAAGCATACATATGTTTAATCTTGTATAATGTTTGAAATGTATTTTGGATTATAATGTTCCAGAGCTGGACAGCATTGTCATGACTAAAAACAGGTAGTTTATCTTCTATATCTTCTAATGACCTGAAGTTAGATAAGGTTTCGACAATATCATGCAGGAGTTCCAAACTCACACCACTTATAWAGCTTGTGCTTCCAACAACAGATCTTCCAATGCCAGGTTGAGAGCATCTGAAGTTTTCAAATTCTTCTAAAAGTGAAAGAAGTCCTGAAAGAAGTCCTAACTTTTTGTATGCTGGTCTGAAATCCTACCTAATAAATTGTTATTTTTAAAAAAGTCGTGAGAAACACAATTATAAAAAGGTTCTATAGGTAAAACTTGGTAAATCAAAGACTATCCATATCCAGCTGGGAGAATAGCTAAGACGTCTTTTTCTTTAAGACAAATGGCTTCTAGTTTTAGGTATTGCTTTTCTTTTAAGTTTAAATCTCCTTTTCCAATTACTTTTAGTCCGTAATCCAATGCATCACGAAAAAAATCTAATTCTTGACGCCTGGACGCCATTTTGAAAATTTTGTTTGAGCATGCGCAGTTGAAACTTCCGGTCCAAGATTCACGGACCAGAAGCTCGCATCAAATCGGCTGCAACCAGAGCCTCTCGTTTTCGGTGCTGAGTACGAGATTGGAGGGATACAGGGCTGCTTTACCTACTGGGACCAACATTGTCTTGGAGGAGAGGGGGTACGAACAATATTCTTTTTTAATAAGAGAAATTCTACTATTTCATGATTGGATGAAAAATTCTCAACTCTTTTTGTCCAAGATTGAAGCTTTGAAAGATTTTTAAAGCGCAAAAACTACCAATTCAATATTATCAACGATTTGGCATTTGAAAAACCCGTAAAACCCTGCAGTCTAAGCTAAAAGAGCTAAAGAAACGAGGCAAAGCCAAATTCATCAGTGGCATTGACAGAAGATGAGATGAAAGTCTATGAAAAAGGTCTCCTTGGAATTTCAAGTCCTGAGGCGCTTCTTAACTCTTTTTGGCTGAACAATGCTCTTCATTTCGGACTTCGTGGGATTCAGGAATATTACAGTATGTGCTGTTCGATGTGACTTTGAGCAAAACAACGGGATTCATGGCCGTCCCACGATCGAACGTTTCAGATTTAAGAAAAAATGAAGAATTACTTTTTAGGCGTTTATTAGGAAAGCAAAGTTCAGTTCAGCCTTCGATCGATCACATTAAAAAAAGTATGTGATATGATTATTTCTGGTGTTGCAAAACAAGAAGTGAAGAGACGCTGAAGGTTTGTTTGGCGCGTTTGTTTACAGTACACTCAGTTCACTCGGTTTCGTTTACACCAAATAATTTCGCTTTACTGCAGTTGTAAATAAGTTCTGAAAGAAACGTTTATAATATTGGAAAGCTTAGGCTATAGTAGAAAAGTATATGATGTTACTGCTGCTGCAAAATAAGTTGGAAAAAAGTTTTTAACGGACAAAAGTGAAAGGACGCTGAAGATTTGTTTACAGTAATTGTGCAATTAGTCATTACACAACGATCAAGATAACTAGAAAATAAAGTTGTATTAAAAGGCATGCGCTTGTTTTTTCAAATGAAATATATTTGACATCTATACGCATTTTAAACCCAAAGAAACAGTATTGCTTCCGATTGGAAAAATAGATTTCAAATATGAGTGATTGCAAAGAATTAAAAACTAACAACAACAAGCAAAGCTTACACGCGGATCGAAGGTAAAAGATGGTCGATGACTTAAGCTGTTAATGAAAAGGTTCTCTTTACCAGGTAACCTGCTGTGCGGTTCAAACCGGCTAAGAAGAAGCTTTTCTAGCTTAAGTAGGCAAAATGTAATTCCATCTCTTTAGAACTAACAAGCTTCGTGGCGTATGCGAACATCCGAATTCGGGTTTGACGGACTGATGGAAATTAGAGTTGAAAATGGTTTTTTTCCATGATTATGAAATGGCATATTTTACATTGGTAGCTCTATCACTGCCTTTCGAAACTTTGCAACTTATTTCATCTTCTCCTTTGGATTCTTAGAGTCTCTGAAACCGTCCCACCAGATAACCCGGTCTACCCTGCCACCAGGGTCTTGTTAATTCAAGGCTATTACTGGACTTGCAACTAGCTATTTATCTGATTTAGTTACTATTAAAAACAGTCTAGTTTAACTTTTAGATCTAATAATGCGCTCTTACCAACAGCACCTCCGGCCAAACTTTGCCCAAATCATGGGCTAGAACGTTTACATGCCGCCTCTGTAGAACGGAATTATTCACCTGCTACAATTGTTATATAGCTAATATATTTGACGATATAACGAACACTCTTAATGGTTGAAAGTTGACCACTTTACACTAGCTAAATATAATATTCACGCAACCTTTGAGCAACACCGCTATATAAAACTGCGGGGAGGTTAATCTAAACCCACGCCAAAAGTCCTTAATAACTCCCCAAGTTTACAATACACACACAAAAACTCTTGCCAGATATCGGGTCAATTTTGGGGGACAATTTTTGGAACATTTTCCTCTTGCAAATAAGATTCTTGTTTGAGTTGTACCCATATTCATGTGTCTCCCTCATGTTCAACCGGTAAACAAAGGAACGATTGGGAATGAATGGTACAAAAAAAAAACAAAAGAAAAGAAAAAGAAAAAAAAGTAAGAAAGCAATGCTGAGATGACCTTTTAATTCGTTTTAAGTTACAATCATTCTACCAATTTTAATTATTTTAAATATTGTGCCTTTTAACTGTTAGCCCGTTATTTCTTTTACCTTTTAACTTTAGTAACGTTTATACTTGTATTATTGATTTTTGCTGTATTCAAAGCCAATTTTTAAGGGATTACGTTTTTTCTGGTCGAATTCCGGAGCGTTTTTCTGAAAGAAACAGTAAACCAGTTGAGGAAGCTATTGTAACTTTGATATTCACACATACCTAACGAGACTACTATCATTACCACTGAGCTCTTTAGTCCAGTGGCGTAGAAACTCTAAAGATGTAACGGGTACGCGATTTTATAGACTCAGTTTGCTACTTCAAGGAAAGAAACCTACCTAGACATTTAGCATTCTCGTTTAGTTTCATACTTTTCTACTTTAAGGAATGAAACCTACCTGGGCATTTAGCATTTTCTTTTAGTTTCAGACTTTTCTATCTTAACGTTGTAGGGAGGGCATTCGTAGCATGTATCTTGCTTGGCTACAAGTTTGTACTGGAATCCATCTTTGCAACTGCTCCAATCTAAGTAAACAAAAATTAGTTATGCAAAATTAAAAATAAATGCTTTCGAAAGAAAGTAATGGAACATGATACAGAAAATAATAATGTAAAATCGTATTGAGGCACAAAAATGTAGCAAAAAAAACAAACAAACAAACAAAAAAAGGATTACTTTAAGTAACAGTCCATGTTCGAGATATGAAGATTCTAGCACGATATCGAGGCACTCCGGAATGAGCAGTAAAATTTTAATTTCCAAAGTTAAATTAAACCTCAAAATGATCGATAGAAATGGTGTTGTGTAGGTAAATTCAATTATAACGTTGTTCAGTAGTGAAATGACTAGCATTTCTATCAAAATTTGCTTATTATTGCAATAATTTGGAACGTCGAACATTATTTCGACGTTGATTGAGTTGTTTGCAAGGCTGTCTTTTCATGGTTCTCCGTATAGTGCAAATCGATGGATTTTGTAATCCATTGATTTGCACAATATATAGAACCATGAAAGGACAACCTTGCAATCAACTCTATATTTCAAGATATCGAACGTGGTCTATTTGAAATTTACCTTTTTTAAGGCGATAGACAAAGTTGGACCAATGGGATCCAACTCCAAATCCATCATCGTGATGCCAGCAGTTGTTTTTACAACCGTGCAGGTTGTAGGTTATTTCTTCATTTTTTGGCGATGCCCAGCATTCTGTCTTGTGCTGTATTCCAAAGTATTCAAACCCTTTTTCCTCTGCTTTTTTTTGCACTCTTCAAACATTCTTTTGAAACCTCCTGGTGAATCATCGAATTTAATTTTTCCGTGATAAAACGACAAGGCGCGATCGCTGCTATCCTCGTAGCAACCCAGCGGTTCCCACTCCTTTTCAGCTAATAGAAATATAAAAAGACGTATTTTACTGTGGAAGGGTTCAAGAAGARCCAAGAAGATTATCAGTAGAGCAAATAAATRATATATAAATATACCATTTTCAAGTTCCAAACTAGCCTCGGCTACCACAGGTAGCCCGAGTAATTACTKCTGTGTTGATTACAGACTCATATACTAAGATCATTGGCTTATATTAATAGATGCCAACAGTCAAGTAAAATATAAAATGGTCTTAACGCAGGTGAATGGATGTTTATCGACGTAACAATATTTTTATTATGATCATCCGGGTGGATGTAGTCCTGAGTTTTCCATGGCCAATATTTTTAAAGCTTTGAATTGTTTGTTACTCCTAATTGTAGAAACGTTGACATATAAAAATAACAAACAACAAAATAACAAATAAGAATGAATTTTTTTTTTTTAGTAAAACAGGAGTAATTATTTCAATGTTTATAAGTTATAGCTGAGCTACCGCGCGTGCCGAAGGCCCGCGCAAGCGGAGCACCATACTTAAGAAAAAATGGTAAACCATCGAATTGATTTTTCATGGCTTGGTTGACGTCACTTCCGTCCGTACTTTCTTACGTCCGTCCGTGTACATAACACAGGGATCCCCCTGATGTCAAAAACCACTCGCAAATGCGGCTCTCAAATGCACAGAAAAATTCGCTTTAGAGCAAAGTATTAAAAAAAAACTTTCATATAGTCAAAGGTAGAGCAAGAAGTGTCCTGCAAGAAGTCAGGTGTGTTTTTTATTAAGCAATTGTATATTATTTAATATTTTGACAAGAAATGTTGATCGACAAATCAAAGGATTTCTCTCAAAGCTTTTTTAAATTATTAAAATATATCTATACATAAGCTTGGGTCGCGGAAAACAGCTGAAAGCTTTAATGCTGGATGAAATATAATCAAGAGAACAAATATTACAGCAAATATTTAGCCTTTATTTAGCATTGTAAATCTTTAACAATTCGGTTGTTTTTAACCAAATATCGTATGTTTTTCGTTCAAGAAAAATACAGCTTTGTTCGCCTCCTATCGCGGGGTCCCATCGGCAAAGCAAAGAAGACTTTCATTAAATAATTTTATATTTTTCTATGGATATTTTATTTAAATATTGAATGAAATATAAAATTGCCCCAAATATTTAAAAGTTTTTTTTTAAATGCATTTGAGAACCGCATTTGTGAGTAGTTTTGCTTTGACACCAAGTGGGATTCCTGTGTTGCGTACACGGACGACGTAGATAGTGACGTCAGCCAAGCCATGAAAAATCAACTCGATGGTTTACCATTTTTTCTTAAGGAGCTCCGCTTTTGAAAATTATTTCTAATTGATTCCTATTTATTATTTATTATTTGATATTTGTTACCTTATATAACAATGTTCATGCTATTAGGTGTAACTTGAAAAACGAAAACAACTTCAGTAAATCTATATGCACCATACAACATACTTACTTTCCTACTTTCTTTCTTTCTTTTTTCTTCGGCTTTTTATTATTATTATTATTATTTTTTTTTCTTTTTTTCGTTCGTTCTTTCTTTCATTCTTCTCTTTTTTTTCCTCTCTTTTCTTTCCTTTTTTATGTTTCTTTATTACAAGGCAACTGGTGAAATCGAATTACGATTTGGATTTTTTTTTTTATGGAACGAAAATCGGAGAACTTGGAAAAAACCATTTGAAGCGCAGGCGGCAACCAACAAACAACACTACTCACATGCTAATCGAACCCACCTTGCATTGGTGAGTTAAAAGCGAACTTACCGCTGCGTCCCCTTTTCTTCTCATGTATACCATACCATGTATACCATTCAAGCACTTAATGTTCTCTCCTACTTACCGGGCAAGACCTTCAGTTCCATCACTGGATGATAAAACTTCCCCTGGTTACTATTACAGCGCATTTTATATCGGTTACTGTCTTCTTCTTTCACATCAGTTATCCTGAACCACGCTTTGCCAACGTTCAAATCTCCAAAGAATGAAACCCTGCCATCATACGCCGTGCCAGGAATTACCTCCACTTCATTTTCCCCTTTATAGTTATTTACATCTGACAGCCATGGATTTGGATTGATGTCATCGGCATTCCAAATGCCAAATACACACCAACGATACTTCGTACCGGCGTCGTCCGTAACCTTGATTTCTACTGTACTTCCACTAGTGACGGTTTGTGTCGGCAGGGTTGCAGGCATAGATGCATCCGAATCTGACAGTAAAATGATGCTCTTTAAATACTGTTTCTATGAACCAGTTCAATGTTGTATATTCAATTAAGCCTTATAGACGTCACACTTATTAGCATATTGTACGTATAAACTTTCATAACTTAGAGACAGATCACTCAAATCAAGAAATATTTTACCATTCAACTATTTACTTCATGTAGAATCAGTACTGAAAGTATTGTCGAAGGGTTCATGTGCACTTTAAGTCGAGGATATACGAAGCGTAGAAACGAGTTATTGTAACGGGCCTGAATATGATGCAAATATGTCGGTCATTCACTAATTCTCCCTCACTCGGTCACTCACTAAGATTTTATCAAGTCGTCTGCTTACGAACGTTTCACTAAGTTAACAATACGCTCAATGTCACACCCACCTCTCGACACTTGACCAAATTGTAATTCATTCCTACACTTCGTGCCACGCAAAGCGCAATTAGTAACAAACACTACAATGTTAAAAGCACAAAGAATATTGTGTATTAAAAAGTAACTTACTGATCCAGTAATTGATTGGATAAAAATTTTAGATTAATATTTGAAAGGAGTAGGTGGAAAACTTTTATTCTATTGTGATTACGAATTCTCCAAACTACCACTGACAGTTCCAGATTTTTATAGAGAATGCATTAAAGTTTGGTCTTCTTGTAACGGAAGTAAAGCGAATCCATCCAAACTAGAACTTGTTGCAAATCAAATTCTTTGGAACAATAAATATATCTGTATCGATAAAAAATCAGTTTTGAGGAAGGTCTGTTTGCAAAAGGCATACAAAAAGTTGGACATCTATTTGATGCCAATGGTGTTTTGAAATTGGAAAATAAAACATTTCATTTAAAGATTACAGCTTTGGAATTTTATATAATGTTAAGTCTGCAAAATGCAATGCCTCAGGAATGGCGAAAACTTTTGAAAAGGAACTCATCCCAAGTACCATATATTACATACCCATTGAATGAAAATATGAAATATCTTATTTGTGATTCTGAAAAAATTGAACTTACAAAGTTAGAATCAAAGAAAATTTATGATTTCTTTGTTTCTAAAAAGGCTGAACCTCCAACAGCAAAATTTAAATATGACATTGAAAGTGARGAATCCTTGAACTGGAAGAGCATATATACGTTACCTTTTATAGTTACTATAGAAACTAGGTTAAGAGAACACAAACACTTTTTTGCATAAAATTGGAAAAATAGATTCTCCACTTTGTAGTTTTTGTAAGGAAAAAGTGGATAGTCTTGAATATATATTTTTTAAATGTACAATTATAAAAGGTTTTTGGAACGATATAATGACTTTTTTAACAAAACATAACATTCATCATTTTACTTTAAATGTAAATAGCATTCCACTTGGTGTCTTTGAGAWAGATGATATATATTACAAGCTTYTAARTCATATCAWCCTTGAGGCAAAGCATTATATATTTCTTTGCAAGCTTAAAGAACTCACACCAACTATAGATTATTTTCAAAAAAAAAAAAGATTACCTTTATCTGTGAATCTATCATAGCGAGAGATTCAAGCGAATTAGATAAACATAAAAAGAAATGGAAACCGTTATGGAAATTTTTTAACCCCCTTGAATAATTAACTGTTTGAATAATTAACTGTATATATGTATTTTATTGCATTATCTGTAAAATATTTAAAAAATCATGATATTATCGAAATAAAAATTCTTGTAAATATCAAATGAGATGATATGTTATGTTGTAAATATTCAAATAAACTGCTATGGATAAAAAACAAACAAACAAACATACACTACAGTATGGAGTGTGACTGTGCCTGGTGCCCGATGGACAGCATGACTAGCACGTTTATTACAATTATATCTTACAAATCAGTCATTGACAGTTATAGTTACAGATTTATGTACTTGACTTCAATATGTGTATTGACCTTTTATATAACTAAATATTGGGGAAAATGTTAAATCAAAGATTAAACATGGCTAAATTGATAATCTTATAATCAAATACTACAAAATTAAATTATAAACAATATACATAACTATACGTAAAGCAAAAAATGCTAAATGAAATTACAATTTAATGTATACGCTACCCGCTACGAAAAAACCAGTAGGATAAAACCCCTTGGTACAAAAAAACCCACTGGACAACGTAGTCCTCGACCGAATGCAACGTATTTACGCTCCGAGGGCTAGAGCTTAAGGAAGACTAACTTAAGTTTGGTTCCACTATATGGCTGTCCAACAAGCGAGAGAAAGACTCTAAGGACTTGACTTCTTAAATACTAATAGCGAATTCATTAGCATATTCTATGATGCTACTAACATAATGAAACAATGATTAATAGATTTTCACGTGTAGCTACGTGTGAAAATACAATAACTCAGAAACGTAATGAAATCGCTTTCCAACTGCACGTTGTTACGTTGGAAAACATTATTTCTTGTTTGTAAACGCGGCCTCAGCACTTATTAGGTGTATTTTACCCAAAACAATTTATATACTCATCGAAATAAGATGAGCTTTTCTCCAATTCCTTTATATTACGTACCTTTACATGTAATTCGGATAAGCAAAGGGTTTGATGTCAATCAAAGCCGTGGAAATCAGTTCACTCTGGAACTCATGATAATTTTTCTCGTAAGCAGGCCGATTTTTCTTCAAGATTCCTGCTATACTTTTTGTTCTTTGGTAACTTGGTATAAATTTCTTTTTCGATTTTTCGTTATCGTTTGAAGAAATCATCGTGTAAAGCCTGTTGGCTGACATTTTTGAGCCTGAAGAAACATCAGCCAGCTTGTCGCGAACTGACCTGTTGAATGTTCTTTCGGCTCGATCTAGAAGGATTCATTTAAATAGTAAAATATGCCCAATCCTTCTCACGATTACTTCGCCAGTATTTTCAACCAAATTCCTTCATAACGAGTTCAAGACTCGTCATGTTTGGTTTTAGGCCATCGAACCACTATGAAGCTAGAACCTTTATCAGAAATGATTGCTTTTCCGGTGAGGCAGGCCTATCGATCACATATCTTGCACCAGAAAGGTTTTTCCTTTTGTTCCTCGCTAAATTATTTGTTTGTTTGCCCATGATTAATCGTTTAAGCCTAAGAATCCGTCGTTTGAACATGAGTGTATAGAGTAGCTCAGTACTACTATGGATTTGTTTTAAACTCTTTCAGCATGAATACAGCTTTGAGTAACTAAATTACAAATAAAGTAAAGATATTTTCGCGGCATCTTGAACTATTTGGAGTTTGTAAGCATTGTTTTGGGCAGTCTTTTCGAGTTCGCCGACCGACCCGTGTCCGCTCGTGAGTAGTTTTAGCGTCCGATAAAAAGCTAAAGATCATTGTTGGCCACATCCTCAGAGTACATGCATATCCGATTCCTCGATAGCCTGCACGAGAGCCCACACGAAGCTTTGGATACGTCATCCAATTCATATATGGGTAGTATTGCGCAATTTTTGCATTTTGACGAGCAGGAGAAAGAAAAAATCAACGCATTTTAAGACTGCGCTGCTACAGGCAACCCAGTAATTATACTACGAATTTGAATCTTGCGGTTTAGATGTGGGATGATACCACTGAGCGTGCGCACAGGTAAACATAGAACAAAAGAATTGATGAAAGATGCAGATTCAAATAAGATAATATCTGATGAGAGAAACGATTGACTATGATTAGTGAAATTTGTTTTGAATTAATGATATTACAAATTTGCTTAATATGAGACAACCCGAGCAGT